CATAATCCCTGCTCTGAATGTGGTAAACCTACTTATTCTATTTCTGGTTGTTGCCCTAAACATATTAGAGGGTTTTATGTTTCTAGATATTTTCAGAAACATCTTAAAAAAAATTATATATAAAATTGGTTAGAGTTTTGTCCCAACTTTTTGATTAGAGTTTTGTTCCTATTTTTTGGTTAGAGTTTTGTCTCAACTTTTTGATTAGAGTTTTGTCCCAACTTTTTTATGATTTTTGCTATCTTTAAGTGACAATTGAAAAGCAGAATGCTATACATATTTGGTTAGGTTTTCTATAAGTATATAATAAAACTAATTTTGTCCCAACTTTTTGTTCTGTCAGTATAAAAGAAAGGCTTTGAGTGATGATTGAAAAGCAGAATGCTATACATATTTCGATTAGGTTTTCTATAAGTATATAATATAACTAAATTTGTCCCAACTTTTTGGTTAGAGTTTTGTCCAACTTTTATGATTTTTGCTATTGATAGAAAGGCTTTGAGTGATAATCGAAAAGCAGAATGCTATACATATTTAGTAAACAAATAAGCTTTCTATGCTCTGCTACGCTCCACATTTGGAGTCGCTATGCTCCTCCAGAATAGAAAGCCAAATAGAAATCAAATAAGATAACTATGCTCTGCTTCGCTCCACTACTGCATCGCACACACCTTAGGTGTATGCTCCTTAGTGTTAGAAAGCTAATTAGTAATCAAATTAGATATAGAAAAGGCTTCAAGTGACGATTGAAAAGCAGAATGCTATACATATTTCATCTCTGACGACACAAGCCTGAATCGTTCGTCACTCAAATGATGATGGTTAGGGTTTTTGTCGGTATAAAAGAATGGCTTCAAGAGACGATTGAAAAGCAAAATGCATCTTTGATGAAGCAAATGCAAAATGTTCGTCACTCAAATGACGACAGTTAGGGTTTCTGTCCCAATTCGTACAGAAATATACTACTTTAGTCTGTTCAATAAATAATTCTGATCCTGCTTTTGCCATTATACTTATCCATTTCAAGAAACAGTATTAAGTCCATTAATTACAGTTTGAACAGACTAACTTTCTTCCAGTTATCTAGCCGTTAATACAACAAAAAAAATACTTTTACTTCCTAATAAAAAAACATAACCAACAGTAAACATGGAAGGCAAACAAGCACAAGCACAACAAGCACCAGATCTCAACACTATTGTAGCTGCCTACAACAACTTCAACAAGAAAATCAAGCCCTTCATGAAGAGAATGCTGCTATCCGAGATATACTTGAGCAGTTCCCAAATCAGGGTGGTAGAAATTTTTGCAAAGAGAACCCAAAATGGATCTCCCGGACAAATTCAACGGATCTCAAAACAAGTTAGAGGATTTTTGAATCAAGTTCGTCTAATTATCCATATGCAACCCAACCGTTACTCCACAGGTGAAACTCAAGTAGGCCTCTTAGGAAGTCTGCTCACAGGACCTGCTTTGTCTTAGTTCGCACTTCTTTTGGAAAGAAACTCTTCAATACTTGAAGATTTCGAAACCTTAGTTGCAGAATTTGAGGTAATGTTTGGTGATGCAGATAAGGCCCGGATGCTTCAAACAAAATTCGAAAACTCTCTCAAGGCCCTAAACCAGCTGCCACTTATGCCTCAGAATTCAGGCAAATCACTGGTGACCTTGATTAGGGCAAAATAGCTCTTATAGATCAATTCAGGGCGGGTCTTCAGGATGATGTTAAAGACCTACTTCTTACAATGGAGGACCCAACCAACTTGAACAATGCCATATCAAAAGCAGTGCGATGTTACAACTGTTTATTTGAAAGATGCTAATAATGGTAACAAAACACTTACCAAAATTGGAATCAACTGCCTAATACCAGTAAAACCTCAGATTAATCTCCTGAACCTATGCAAATTGATAATATCCAACAAAGAACACTAATGGAAGCAGAAAAAAGAAGGCAGCGAGCCCACAACCTCTGTCTCTATTGCAGCGATCCTGGTCACATAGTAAGGAACTGCCCCAAGAAAAGTAAACAACAGTATAAAATCAGCAGTGCGGTAGCAGTAAACCCTGATGACAATTTGGGAAAAGAAGAGCCCCAATTGCAGTAGAGGAACTGCGATTAGATGCAAAGTTTTCCCCAAGAACCAAAATTAATCTTACCCATACTCTGGTGGCCGCCTTTACTATACAAGTACACCTTATATTTCCTGACTTGTCCCAGATACCAATTGACACGTTAATAGACTCGGGGGCCTCTGCTTGTTTTTTGGATTCAGCATTGGCCCAAACACATAACCTACCGTGCAAAAAAAAAGAACTACCTTTGTCTGTTAAAGTGATAAATATACATGAAATTTCTTTAGAAGCAGTTACTCATGAAACTGCTCCTTTAAGCTTAACTATATGGATCACATGGAGGAAATAGTGTTCAATTTGATTTTGTCTCCTCACCATAAAGTCATATTGGGTTTACCTTGGCTGATTTCACACAATCCTGTTATTAATTGGCGGAAACATGTCATAAAATTTCCTGATTCTGCCTGCAATCATCATCAGTGTTGGAAATCATATGCTTATGAAAACATCCTTTTAGATTTGAAAATTTTGATATTGTATATATGTTCTCTATGAAAAAAAATTTGAGAACATGATGCTGAACAAGCATGTTCTCTAAGTATAACAGCAAAATTCCAGATGGAAATAGAAATTCCAAATTTATCCAAAAGGAAAATAAATGAACATAAAATATGAGAAGGGTTGGGATAAAAATTAGAACAAATGTCTGATAATTTCTGAAAATAGGGATATTGAGAACATAAATAAAATTTTGAGAACACTAAATCAAATAAATATGTTCTCATAAGAACATAAATTTCAAAACAGATTTCCAACACTGATCATCATCATCAAAGTTTGTTGTCACCAAGAACCCAACTGAGTGAATGTTGCGATTCAGAGGAATGAATTTTTATGGCTTAAATCTTCCATATTGCTTCTCTTAATAAAGAAATATCATTCTTTGAACAGACCCTTCCAGCTAAATATCTGAATTTCCAGAATGTGTTTGATGCACAGGAAGCAGGTAAACTGTCTAGGCACTGACCCTATGATTGTGCCATAGATTTGTTGCCAGGAAAGCAACTACCATGGGGGCCCATCTATGAACTGTCAGGACACGAATTGGAAACTCTAAAAAGATATATAGAAGAACACTTAGAAAAAGGATACATCTGACATTCTAAATCTCCGGCAGAGGCTCCAATTCTGTTTGTTAAGAAAAAAGATAGTTCTCTATGATTATGCATTGATTATCTTGGTTTGAACCAAATTACTATCAAGAACAGGTACCCACTACCCCTAATCTCAGAATTGCTTCATCCACTTTCATCTGCCTGAATCTTTACTAAGATTGATCTTTGTGGAGCGTATAATTTAGTATGTATCAGGTCAGGTGATGAATAGAAGACTGCTTTTCGCTCCTGTTATGGCCATTTCGAATATATGATAATGCCTTTTGGGCTTACCAATGCCTCAGCCATCTTCCAACACATGATGAATAATATTTTCTGAGATTTCTTAGATGTCTTTGTTGTAATATATTTAGATGATGTATTGATTTATTTCGCAATGCCAAAGGAGCATCTTATCCATATAAAATTAGTCTTGGAACGGTTATGCCAATTTGAATTGTATGCAAAGTTGGAGAAATGCGAGTTTGATCAGGACAATGTTAAATTTTTGGGTTACAAAATATCTTCATCTGGGATCCAAATGGATCCTAACAAGGTTGAAAGTGTGCTTTCTTGGCCCATATCTCCAGCTTGCGGGATGTACAGCACTTCCTAGAATTTGCAAATTACTACAGAAATTTTATTAGAAATTATTCATCTTAGTCACCTCTCTTACTAACTTAACAAGGAAGTCCTAAATGGTTTTTAGTAGTTTGAGTTAGCACAACATACCTTTGATGAATTAAAAAGGGTTTTCACTACTACTCTCCTTCTCATATATGGGGACCCTACTAAGCAATTTTTTCTTGAAACCGATGTGTCAGATTATGCGCTCGGTGCCGTGCTTTCTCAATACCAGGATGATGAATTTCTTCACCCCATTGCATATTACTCATGTAAGTTTACACCTGCAGAGATTAATTATGATGTCCATGACAAGGAGCTCCTAGCTATTGTTGTTGCACTCAAGCAATGGAGACATTATTTAGAGAGTGCCCAACACAAAGTCATAGTTTACTGTGATTATAAGAATCTGCAATACTTTACCTCTGCCCGTATTCTTAATCAGCAACAAGCCCATTGGTCGCTTGTTTTATTCAATTATAATTTTGAAATTGTGTTTAAACCCGGAAAGTATCTTGAAAAAGCAGACGCTCTTTCAAGAAGGTCCAATTATAAATCCTAATCTAGTGATGATAATATTTCTTTATAGCACTCTTTGCTAGGGCCAGAAAGAATATGCCTCAACACTTTAGTGTTCTCTCTGGTAGATACAACATTGCAAGATCAAGTCCGTTGTCATTTAAAACGTGATTTATTAGCTCAGAATATCATCAAATACCTTAATTACCCAAGTGAAGCCCAAGGTAGCCCTCGTAGCTCACATACTAATTATCATAAATTCAAATTCAAAAATGGTCTACTTTACCGTGATGGGTTGTTATATGTTTCCCGAACGGCGGAAAAGGTTAAAATTCTCCAAGCTCGACACGACTCTAACATGGCAGAGCATTTCAGGGTAATAAAAACCGTGGAATTGGTAACCCGGGATTACTGGTGGCCAAAAATCCAGTCTTTCGTATGAAAGTACATTAGTATCTGTGATAAGTGTTCCAGATCCAAGTCTCCGAGGCATTGGCCCATAGGCTGTTGGTATCACTTCCTGTACCCTCAAACCCGTGGCAATCTATATCCATGGACTTCATCACGGACTTACCCACATCATCAGGCTTCGATTCTATTTTAGTTGTTGTAGACTAGCTTTCAAAAATGGCTCATTTTATTACCTATAACAAAGCAATTAATGCAAAACAAACTGCACACTTAATATTTAAAGAAATAATTCGTCTCTATGGTATTCTGGAAAACATAGTGTCGGATAGGGGACCTCAATTCATCTCGAGGTTCTGAAGATGCTTGTTTGAACTTCTGGGAACCAAAATCAACCTATCTTCTGTGTTCTACTTTCAGTCAGACAGACAGAGTGAATATGTAAACCAAGTATTAGAACAATATTTAAGGTGCCCTTATAAAAAAAGTCGATCTGTGTTTTATATTCCATGTTTTTTCCGTAAATGTTGCATATTCACGGAATTTATAACTTTAAATCATGGAGATTATTCGGCTTGTCCAGATTTTGTTGATCATGTTGCAGATTCACGGAGTTTTCACAAAAAATATGGATAAATAATGGAAATATTCAGATAAAATTTCTTACAGAGTGCACCATAAACTATCAACAAGATGATTGGAATAACCTCTTACCCTTAGCTGAATTGTCCTATAATAACTCAATTCATACTTCCACGAAGAAAGCACCATTCTTCGCTAATTATGGGTTCAATTCCCCGTTTCGACATGCACATACCTCTAAATTTAACAGTTCCCTTAGCAGAGGACAAGGCAATGCAGTTGCAGCAAATTAGAGAGAGCTTTATTCATGAACTGGAGGCAGCCCAAAAGTGGTACAAATATTATGCTAATCTGTCATGACAGAATGCCCCAAATTTCAAGTCTGGTGACCAAGTTTGGCTGTTGCAACATAACATTCGTACTCAACACTTATGTAAGAAGTTGACTATTAAAGGTTAGGGCTCTATGAAGTTTTATCCCAAGTCAACCCAGTTACCTACCATTTATCTCTACTCTGTTCCTTGAAAATCTATGATGTGTTTCATATATCTCTACTTAAACCCTATCTTAGCAACGACATACCTGGAAGACAAACTCCTCTGCCTCCACCTGTTGCTATTAAAGGGGAATTGGAATATGAAGTTAATAAAATACTCGATTAAAAAAAGATTCAGAAAAAACTGGTTTACTTGGTATATTGAAAAGGTTACGACTCAAATGAGTGCTCTTGGGAGCCAGCAAAGAATATTGCAAATACTAAAGAAGCTGTTCGTAGCTTTTATCAGCAGTATCTCAATAAGCCTGGTCTGAAAAGATCTTTAAAAAAACTGGGAAGGGATAGCCTTAAAGGGAGAGATAATGTCATAGTTAAAGTTAAAGCCCAAACCTGCTAAGCCCCAAGCCTGTGATTTCTTCCCGTGATGTAGTACATAGTATGTAGATCGGACCTCAAGTCCTAACCTGCTTATTGCACAGTGTCGTTGCTGCATAAAGAATGTAGTTATAATAGTAATTAATAAATTCGCATAAGACGTATAAGAAATATAGTCATAAAATAGTAATTAGTAATATTAGATATTCGTATAAGAAATGTAGTTATAGGATCATAGTTAGTATAGTTTAGCAATTGTTAATAGTAATTAGTAATATTAAAACATTCACATAAGAAATGTAGTCATAGAATCGTAGTTAGTATAGATTAGCATTTGTTATAAAAGAAGAAAAGTAAATGTACTTTTGCCTTAGTCTGTTCAATAAATAATTCTAATCTTGCTTTTGCCATTATACTTATCTATCTCAAATAACAGTATTAAGTCTGTTCATTACAATATTTGCTGGAAATTATGGTAGCATTTTAGAATAATAACACTACAACACTAAATAAACTAATATGTAATAGTTATATCCTGGGCAGTTGAGTATAAGCGGGGATGAAAGTCCCGCTTATACACATAGTGCCCAGGGTATAACTGATTTATGCTCTGTGATCTTGATATAGTGACCAGGGTATAAATATATATATGTACTAGGTAAATGGAAGCCATTTAAGGTTTGAAGGACTTATTACAGATCAGTCTGACAATGGGTATTTTTGAAGCAAATGTTTGTTTTTATCAATTATTCAATCAAACCCCTTAATTTGTAGACACACACACACAACCAAGTCACTATGACTCTCCTGTAATGTCTTTCGGAAAATAAATAAACACCAAGTGCATGAGCAGATGCATGACTTTTTATATATTTGCATACAGAGATTTAAGGCATAATAAATTTAGATGAAGAATAATGGCATGATAAACTCATGTGTGAAAAAATAACCAAAATTTGACAAATAAGTTATGTGGACCAATCAAACTTAAGATTTTGTAGACAAATCTCACTCCAAATAGCATTGTATTCATTCCTGGTATAGGATTTTATGTGATCGTACTTAGGTTTATAGTGATCTCAAGTCAGCATTAGCTGTGATAATTAAAATAAAAATATATTAATTTTTAAAAAAACAGCATATAAACTGTGTGTCATTTATAGTGCTAATATTGTAATTGTATTACATTCCTGGTTTTAGTGCGACTGTGTCACATGGCTATCCTCATCACAAAGTTGGTTTTATATAGAGTTACATAGAATATTTATGTAAAATTTTTATGTAGCTTTATAAACCCAATGTAGATTTACATAGATATTTAGGGATACTTGAAGAACAAGAAACCCAGTGATTATTACATCACGTGAAATTATTATTTGTTTACTAGCACTAAACAAATTAGCCTAAACTAACTCATCACCTAACCCTAACACTAACCCTAACGTAGGCCGAACACTTAATCATGTAAGTGATTATCATGAAGATATTACTGGGTTCATGATCTTTAATCTTCCTAATATTACCAGTATGATTATGTTTCATGTGTAATATGAAATGTGGTAGAGATGGTTTCCTTCAACTTTTTTGATGTCGCTTAATCTGTTTTATGAAAACCTTTTTTAGCAGGTGTTATGAATTTCATTTGTCTAAATTAGGAAAGAGATATTATTTTTTGTTAAGGTAATCATTATTGTTATGTGTGTGTGTGACATATATACATATATGCATAATAGTATACGAATATAATACTAGCACATAGATGAGTATAAAATATATGTCATTGGAAGCAATTATTATGACTGCATATTATTATGACTACATATTATTATTTGAATGTTTATGAAAAATTAGAGGTGATTGTTGTGTAGTAATATGTAATAAAATTATAAAATAATGAGAAAATTGGTTATCGATTGCAGTAATTGGCGTAGTTGAATTTTGATCTGCAGTGAGATGAGCTATGGTGTGGGCTATGTGAAGCATAACAATTAGAAAAACTTGTACTGAAAAAAAGTTAATGTATAGAGAAATGAGAATGTTATTACTCTAAAAAAATATTCAAGTGACATAAAACACGTGATTTATTCATATTAGTGATGTAATAATTCTATGATTTTCTGAGAAAAAAAAAATGATTAGAGAACGTCGGGTTAAATGTTGCATAAGTAAAATTGTAATATAAGTGATATAACTTAATTGAAGTCAAATAAAAGATATTAAAAATGCATGAGAAAAAATGAAATAAAATTCTTACCACTTTCATTCAAGAAAAAAAAAAAAAAAACTAGTAAAAGCTTAAAAAGTGTTGTCACAATATTAAAGCAAATTAATCTTAATCTGTTACTAACAAAATACATAGTTGTTCAGGACCACAACAACAATATATGTAAAGAATAATTTTGTATTGTTATTAAACTGTAATAAATGCTTAATTAAGTTATGTTCTTTTTAGTTAAAAATTATAACTTGGATAAACGAGATTGATTGATATTTAATAATGTAAATATAATTTCCAAAGAGCTTTGAAGTTATTAGACGAAAATATACTGACTTTTAGTATTTAGAGATAGTTCTTTAAATTCTGATAGTTATAAATCGAAGCATAAACAACAAAAAGCTAATCAATGATCACATATGATTTACTGTTAGTGCAAACGAGAACAACAACGTAAACGACATGAAATTCATCGTGCAAAAAAACAAAATATTTGCATAGAAAAAGACATTCAAGCAGCAGAAGCACAGGTTCCATTGTGTATTCTAAAATGAATAAGGAATTTGATACATCGAGAGATCGAAATTTAGATTGGCCCCGACCAATTAATAAGACCGATGCAAATAGTGCATTGGCAAGATTCTGTGAAAATATTGACTGTAAGAAACTTAAGGAATTGTCTTGTGCAATCTGTTCTAGTTTATTTACATATTAACAATTGACTACAATAACTATACAAGAAATACACTTACTATCACTTGAAGCTAATAGATATCTAGAAGACCCAGTTTTTGAAATTGACTTTGCATATAAACATCCCTATATAGACAAAAGTGGCTGTAAAATTTTATTATATAGAGATGGGTTTGTTAAGGAGAATTCAAATGATAATACAAATCCATTTAATTTTCGTGTATGTTATAGTTGTAAACGTTCAATAAATGTGGGCAGTACTCCAGTACTTTCATTAGCAAATGTGTGGGTCGGAACAACTCCACCATGTCTTCAGGGATTAATGATACCAGAACAGCTAATAATATCAACAGGTTATATTTGTATTAACATTATTCAACTTACTATCCGAAGGCATACACACTACAAACTAAAGGGCCACATAATTACATTCACACAAGAACTAGCTTCATTTGCTACTATCTTGCCCTTATCTGAATATCGGTTATGTGATTATTTAAAAGTTGTGTTTGTTGGGTAAAAATGACCAACAGAAGAACAATTAAAAAAAGTATTACATGTAAGAAGGGAAAAAATCTCAACGGCTTTAGAATAGTTACTAAACCACAATATCCTTTACAAAAATATTAAACTTGATAGAATGACATTAGAATCTTTACCAAAAAATGATGTTCCGACTGCTCTATTAGCAATGACAGTTATGATAAATATTGTTCCTGTGAAAGCAGAACATTATACTGGATATACAATGGAAACAAATGATGAGAAAGATGCTAATAATAGTATAGATAATGCAGATAATGATAAATCAGATAAAGAAGAAAATATTTCTGATTTACTTAATTGCATTGATGAGATAACTGAATTGAGAAATTCAGGTTTAACATACACTAATAATACCCTAATCACAGAACGTAAACATTCTTTAAAATTACTAGAAAAAATAATTCAAGAATCAACTAATAATAGACAAGAATGCCATAGTACAATCTTAATGCTGCATTCAAAGATACCTAAGAATGAATATATAGATTTGACACTTCTTCCTACTGCATTTCCTATGTTATTTCCCTATAGCATTGGTGGGCATGAAAATAATTTCCAAAAGCAGCGCGTACTATTTAAGCAATATGTTGAATACTTATTACGTCTTCAAGACCCTAAATTTAGATACCATCATTCGTTTATTTTTATTGCATTTGATATATAACGAAGAAGGGAAATCGTATTAGAAGCATACTTGATGACAAAATAAGTAAGCTTTGAACAATCAGCTGAGCTAATCTTAAAAATCACACCTAGTGATATGGAAACTGCAAACAACCAATAATGAATAAAGCTATAATAGAATTATTAAAAAATATTAATATTGTCAGTAGAAAAATACATGTTGTTATAATATGGGATAGCTCACCTTCGTTATTTATAACTATTAATCCTGCGGATTTACACAGCTCAATCGTGATGATATACGCAGGAAAAGAGATAAATGTTAACACTTTACTTCCTGAGAATTTTTCAACCGCGACAGAAAGAGCTAAATTAGCTCATCTCGATCTAACAGCAGTAGCGAAGTATTTTAATATCTTGATAAATAAGATAATCAACTTTGTTCTTGACTATAAAAAACAAGAAGGTGGCATCTTGGGTGAAATAAAAAACTATTACAGAGTAGCAGAATTTCAAGATAGAGATACACCTCACTGCCATATGCTAATTTGGCTTGAAGGTGACCTCAATCCAATTAAACTACGAGATTGTCTTATGCCAAATGGCCTACAAGAACCCGGAGATTGCAAAAGTTCAACATATAGAAAGGTCTGTAATAGGTTATGACAATAATAGTGATGCAGAAATGCTAGATAATGACCAAGATGATTTAAATAAAAATAACCAAACTTCTTTGAGCCCTTATGAACTTATGCGCTCTTGACTAACTGATCTACAATTTGTTGACAATGCTATGCTTCATTTACATTTAAAAAACAAATTTAATGATGAAAAAAGAAAACAACTAAATCTTCAAAAAAAATCTGAAACCAAAACCTACAATAACAAAAACCAAGTAAGATGTTCTTGTGAAAATGATGACCTTATCAAAATACAATATCATCACGAAAAAAATTGGAACAGATGAATGATGATATAGAACCTAAAGAACCCAATTACTCAAGACCTTTGACTCATACAACCAATAAAAAAAATCACCTATGACAAAAACAATAATAGAAACAATTTTCGCAAACCTCAATGATGAACAAAAAAAAGCCTTCAAGCTTGTCTGTAAACACCATGAACAAACAACCCTGTAATCCTAACAAACCACCTCAGTTATTAATGTATATGGGTGGTGCTGGAGGTACAGGTAAATCAGAAGTTATATACGCCATTACTGAATACTTTGATCAAACCGAACAAAAAAAAACACTAGTGCTTTGTGCACCAACTGGGGTTGCTGCATCAAATATTGGTGGTTGTACACTTCATGCCTTGTGCGGTCTTG